CTAAAAAAGCCAATAAGAATATAGTTTTACATGCAAACCATCGGATCTCAAATCTTCCTCGACTTCGAGCAGCAGTCGCTGACGGAACGTGATGCTGGATCAGGTCGGGCAGTGACCTCAAATCTTCCTCGACTTCGAGCAGCAGTCGCTGACGGAACGTGATGCTGGATCAGGATTATCGGGCAGTGACTTTCGAGTTGCAGTTTGATTCGCTGGTCCGGAGCAAGTTCAGCCAAAAACTTTGCTTTCCCAGATCCAGTTGACTTTCAGATCTAACATGGCAAAGTCTGCCTACCAAAATCAACATCGATAGATCAAATAAACAACAACAACCTCGTCGCTAAAAAGATCTAAATCTAGCCCTGAACCAACACTTACCCAAAACCTACCGTTCGTAGACTTATGGACCTGAAAATTAGCCTTCCCAAACCTAATAGCCAACGCCCAGTTAGGCTAATCTCTTAGAAGGGAACAAAACAAAACCAACAGGAATATCCTTTTCTCAATCTCCCTACTTCCTGGTCCTCCACATTCTCAGCCCAACGCCCAAATAGGCTATTCTCCTGGAAAGGAGGTGGATCAACGCTTCCCTGGTATAGTCTAACAGGCGTAGGCCCGTGCACACATCCTCAGTCTCCCTACTCCAAACCTTCCTAGACGGGTGCTAGGTCGGGGGGAGCTGTTGTAATTTTTCAAAACCTAACCTTTGCCAGAGCCATTGGACTTGACATACCATTTTATGCACAGGATCCTTTTTAGAGGCTTGTTTTTAAATGTAATTTATAACTCGCTCCCTCCGATGTCTTCTTCCTGTTTCTATGGGGAGGAGGCGTGGGAGGGAGATGCGAACCAAGCCCAGACAGGCTTTTTGGATGGCGGGTGGCCCAGACAGGTCTAACGCCTCCAGGTTCGCTAGATATAAATTTGGTAACCTATTTAGCATTTAGATACAAAATTCTAAAATATTTTACTCTTTTAGATATTGCAATATCAGTGGACCAGGAACTACCTCAAATCCTTTCATCATCTACGAACTCCAGATACTAGCTTCGAACCATCGGACCTCGAATCTTCCTTGGCCTCAAACAGCACTTGCTGACGGAACGCAATGCTAGATCAGGATTATCAAACGGGGACTTTTGAGTTACGGTTTGATTCGCTGGTCCGGAGAAAGTTCAGTCAAAAACTTTGCGTTCCCAAATCCAGTCAATTTTCAGATCTAACATGGCAAAGTCTGCCTACCAAAATC